GTATAGTTCTGAAAAATACAGATTGATGGTGCCCTAAATGAATGAACCTGTGAATTCATCAAAAATTAGGATGATAAAATGAAGCAGGGTAAGAAGGGTGGGACATCTAACAAGCATGAGGGAGATGATAAATGCTCACATAATTTTGGTTGTAAAGCCTTAAGGGAAGGGGCTAGTTGGAAAACCAAGGCACAGAAGGAAGGATAATATCAACATGAATCAGTGGAAGCTATGAACTAATCACATTTAGGATAGTGCGTACTGGCATGTTCGTCAACATTTGACATACCTTTGGTTTCCATAACATTTGAGGAATTTGACTACCTGAATGACTATAAGCTTCTCAAAGACTATGCCATATGCCATGCAAACAAGAGTCCTAAAATGAAGCAGGGTAAGAAGGGTGGGACATCTAACAAGCATGAGGGAGATGATAAATGCTCACATAATTTTGGTTGTAAAGCCTTAAGGGAAGGGGCTAGTTGGAAAACCAAGGCACAGAAGGAAGGATAATATCAACATGAATCAGTGGAAGCTATGAACTAATCACATTTAGGATAGTGCGTACTGGCATGTTCGTCAACATTTGACATACCTTTGGTTTCCATAACATTTGAGGAATTTGACTACCTGAATGACTATAAGCTTCTCAAAGACTATGCCATATGCCATGCAAACAAGAGTCCTTTTACTTGTTTATATGTTGGCAGAAATGTGTCCATTCCGTATCATTTGTTAGTTATTTTTATTAACTGCGCACTGAATTTCTACTCACGTTTCCTGTGCTTCTTTCTTTCCTTCTGTGTATGTTTTGTAGTCTGTTAATTCAGTTGTGTTTAATTTAACCAACATTATTTTAAACATTTAATTTTACCTCGGAGTCTTACTTTATTTGGGATCTACATTTATTTTCCCCAGTAGTTATCCCCCAGGCGTCATAATCGTATTTGAAGGTGTCTTCTGTTTTTATATGTATTTTTAAGATGTGTTTATTTTCATAACCTTTGTTGTTGAGCACGTGGGGCGAGTGATTGTGGTTGTTTACGTATAATGGGCGGTTCGAGGGTTCGATCATAGTACTTTTTTTGCCAGTAAACATTTAAAGAAGTTCACAAATTGTGTATTTATATATTTTGAATGTGTAAAATCCATGTCAATAGTTTTATATGCACTCAGATGTTTACCAGGTTGTTGGGATGAGTTGCCAAACACTCGTTTATATTATACAGAGGTCAAATTTAAATACAGAGTTCATTATTCTTAAATGTTTTCTGGCACAAGAAAAAGAGAAAATCCACCAAAACATGGGATGGAACCCATGACACACAGATTACAAGTTCACAAATTTTATCCACTCTACTACTTCACAAAGGCAATAACTATAAAAAAAGGAAAACTTTTAAAGCACGTATTTCAGAAACTGTGGCCTGTTGGACAGGTGAGATGGGTGTCTTTCCACATCTGCTTTCCCTTGACCACATTTTCATTAAATCCCTGACCCGAAGTCAGATGACCTCTCCTTCTTTTGTATTGTTATCTGTATAAAAACCTAGGGGCAGTATAGTGTGGTTTCACCTATTCTAAATAATTAGCTGTGAAATGTGGACTCTCCATAATGGAAGAAAATTGTTTGATGTCAGTATATCTGTTACATTTCCCCATAATTATGATGTGATTAAACACTTTAATGTCAGTTTATTTCCTTTCAGGACCTACTAAATTTTCCAAGTTTTATCAGTTATCACAGATAAAAAGGTGTATCACTGTGATTCTTGTCAGTACTTTCATACAGAACCCTCAAATCAAGATGTGTGATGAACATGTTTTACACTTGCAAAAGGATATCCAGTTTGTTACAAGAATTCCAAAAATTATACTGCAGAGAGTTGAAGAAATATTTCCATCTCTGAATGCGACCTTGGTGAGTGTTTAAGTTTGTGTGCACAGAAATGAATGTTACAAAAAATTCCAAAAGAAAGTTATATTTTATGACAAGCAACTGTTATTTTAAAATTGTCATCTTCTCAGTTTTACAATATAAATTGTGCACATTAAAGTGGTTTAGTGCAGCATTTGTCAACCTCCGGTACACGTACCAATGTTGAGTAGTACTAAAAACTAAGTAAGAAAATAAAAAGATAATATCAACATAAATAGGTTTTTCCAGACCACATTTGGTTAGTGGTACATTTAATGTGTTAAATTAGAATTAGTGGTATGCCAGCAAAAAAGGGTGAGAACCCCCGGTTTAGTGTGTTCATATGACATCAGACGTTTATAAGTTCCAGCATGTAATATGCTTTGTAATACTGCATAGCAGTCAATGCACAAGAGATGTATATAATCTCAAATA